CGTGTTCGGTGCTAAAGTGACCAAACCGTTTTTATTTAAAAAGTTGAACTTCCATCAGTCATCACACACTGCTGGTGAAAGTCTTCCTTGCATTTGACTCGTCTCCGTGGTGAGCTGCAGCAGTGGCTGTGCTCGGGAACCATTTTGTGGTTTAACCCCCCAATCCAACCCCTTAAAGCTGGATGTCAAGCAGGGAGGCATTGGGTCCCATTGTTAAGGTCTTTGTTAAGGACCGACCGTTTCACAATAAAAGCTCATGATTAAGGGGATTACTCTCATCCTGTCTAGTTAATGCTAATATAATCTGTCTAATTTAGGAAATAATGGTGTAATTTTCTTTGTGAAGAAGAAATTCTTTATTTTCTCCTGCAGGGAGAAAGGAAGCAAGCCGGTGCCCTTTATGATGCGGAGTGCTGCGACTTTTCTCAGAAATGTGGTTTGTCTGGGTCCAGCAGTTAACGAGTCCTACTGTTTAAATCCTGCTCCCCGACTCCTGCAGAGACAGAGCAGCTCTTTTGTTTAAGTGGAGATCAGGAGAGGAGCTGCTCCAGCAAACACAAAACCTCAGTGTCTTCTGCTGCATGACGCACGCCCTCATTGGGCGAGAGTTCATGACACCTTAAATGTAGGAAAACACCAACAGACGGAGCAGGAATGCTTGTGTTTGCTAATGACAGGGACGTTCCAAACTTCTCTACAACCTCAGGGAAGTCAAAGTCTGAGTGAACAGCCCCCCCCCCCCCCCCCCCCCCACATGTCGTATTGTGGTGCATTTTTTCTTTTCCTGGTGCGCTGGTACCGTCCTCTGATTATTCTCTGATTGCCGATCTGTGGGACAAAGCTCTAGGGGAGGGATTGGAGGGCTTAACATACAACAGCGGCGGTTGGTGTGCACGGACAACTGGGACTGGCTATCTGGAAGGAGGAGTGGCCAAAGGATGCCGATTGGACCCCGAAGCTTTAAGACTGTGTGGTTGTGCCTGGTTCATTCATTCAGTCTTCCCTTTCTCCAACCAGCCACGAAACCCGGGGAGGGGAAGGTGACTGATGCTGTCTTCCTCTAAGTAAAGGAGTAATTAGGGGTGAGCTGCCTTCATGTGGATCATCCATCTTTTCCCGTGTTTAAGGTCAGACGTTATCATTTAGTTTATTCTTTTTGCAGAAAAGGTGTTTAAGGATCATTCGATATAGGTCTGAGGTTTTGTTTGTTGTTTTAAGCGTTAAGCTCATGCTGAAGTTAAAACTCATAGTAAATTAAAAAAAGATGAAAAAACACTCAAATGCTTCTCATTCGTTAGATGTTAATACACTACAATGAACGGGCCCTTGGGTGGCTGCTTGGGGTTCATGGAGACTGAACAACTTATCATTTTTATGTTCGGACCGGGTTCTCCTAGACCGGCCGTAACACGAAGGTTACTAGAGGACTTTAAGAAGATCTCCACGCTTCCTCCTCCAGCTCCTCCAGCAGTGAGCCCTGGATCTTCCCTGAGGTCGGATTCAAGCACCTCCTTTGGAAAACTTTCAGACATCCAAACCAGGACTTCTCCTTAATGCGGTCTTGGGCTTTAGTATCCCGATGAGGTTCTAATATTAGTCAGTTTTTATCCTGTAAAGTTTCTAAATCTGCTTTTGTTGAGATGCCAGAAAATAACGTTTCAGCTGCTCGTATGATGACCACCTAGCTCTAACCAGAGATTGCCTGCAACAGGCTTGGGGCTTCACCTAGTAGCTCTTCCAGGCCAGGACCTGCTGGAGCTCCAGGACACGACTCCTCTGAGGATCTGGAATGTACTCCCAATGACCTGACCCGTCGTAAAACTGACACTGTTGGTACAATTTCAACGTGATTCCAACATAAAAATCAGGGAATGAGTTTTGGGAGTGAAACATCTCTTCAGTTACCACGGTAACACTGGGGCTGCTTTAGAGGTGCTCTCATTTGTTTTCTTCGAAGCAGTCCCATTAAAAGTTCACGTTAGCTAGTTTTTATGGTCTCCACTGGTGTCAAATGTGCCTGATATGTTCCGTCAGGTGATCAGAATCTCTGCTTGAATTTATTTATTTATTTCCTGTAGGAATGAACAAAATCAGGACATGCAGCCATTTTTCTTAGGGCGTAAAAATAAATGAAACCGTGAGACAAATACAAAAAAGACTCGATCGGTATCGCCTCTGTCTCGCTCCTGCCAGTGTCTGTTTTTAGGGTTCTTATCAGAATTGTGGAAAAACGGACTAAAAGTTGCAGGTTTGAGCCGAAGAGTTCAAATAATGAGTTAAAAAGTGCATTTAAATTCAGCTGCAGTTGTTTGTTGTATGTGTGGAAAAAGAAAAGCTGGTGATTGGTCTGTCTGCACCTCGTCTGCCCAGGACTTTCCTGACTCGTCTGTGTTAGCAGCAGATCTGTCTATACTCGCTGTGTTATCTGTTTTCTCTGTATAAACAGCACAGGTGTTCGCAAACGGATTTTCTGAGTTATTTGCATGAATCTTCTAAAGCCGCAGAACACTGTGCTCCGTCAGTCGCCACAGAAATGAACTCGTGCAGCATGGAAACAGGAGTCTCGCTCACAGGCCGCGTCCCGGGCAGGAGAAGTAATGGCATTGTTAATTACCACCCTGCTGCTACTGCAGCTGGCCAATATCTCACTTCCTGCCTTCACTCTCTCTATCACGCCTGCCATTGTAGAAGTGATGAACTAGGTTGACCGGGGAGCGCCGAGGGAGGGAGGTGCACTCTCCTGTTTTCAATGCAAACACATACAGAAGGTAAACCAGGAAGCTAACGAGCATTAGCCCGTAGTTTCCCAGCGGCGCTCCGTGATGTGCCTGTTCTCTGAGCTGGACGTGTCTGCTGTCATGAAGATGGATGACCACAGTCGGTCATGCAAACCTGGATGGCTGCAGCACGTCTGTGGATGGGCACGTTCCCACTTCTCATGGGAGATTAGAGGAGATCAGATTTGTTGGGTAGAGTAGAACTCGGAGCCGGTCTGGAGGGTTAGGCCGTAGCCGGCTCCGACCCAATCCAGAAACATAAACACACAACAGAAACTTCTGAAATGAAAATCATGCATTTCAGCAAAACCATTCATCCAGTTTGTTTTGTTGATGTTCCAGTTCTTACAGGTGGCTGCTTATTGGGCGAAAGGCGGGGCTCCACCTGAACAGGTACACCCTTCACACAACAGGAAGCTGGGGTGGTTTGTTGATAAACTTAGGTTTGACTTTATAGTTTTATTGTAAAATGGTTTTTTTTCCTAATCAATTATTATTTAGGAAGCACTTTACACACAGAGAGACCTAAGAGCAGAACACGATTCTAACCAGTCCCACTGAGAAACTTCACCAACAGTTAAAGAATGCATCATTTGTTGTTTTCATCCATTTTCAGCCGCGTATCCAGGGTCGGGTCGCGGGGGCAGCAGTCTAAGCAGGAAGGCCCAGACTTCCCTCTCCCCAGCCACTTGGGCCAGCTCCTTCGGAGAAATCCCAAGGTGTTCCCTGTCCAGCACAGAAGCATGGCCCTCCTACGCGTCCTGGGGCTTCCCTTCTGTCTTCTCCCAGCTGGATGTGCCTGGAAAACCTCACCAGGAAGATGTCCAGGAGGAATCCTATTCAGATGCCTGAGCCACCACTACTGGTTCCTCTCGATGTGGAGGAGCAGCAGGTCTACTCCAAGCCCCTCCTGGATGACTGAGCTTCTCACCCTATCTGTAAGGGAGAGCCCAGACACCCTTTCAGCCACTTGTATCCATGATTTCATTCAGTCATCAGTCATTTCAGCTGCTCGTATTCACGATCTCGTTCTGTCGGTCACCACCAAAAGCTCGTGACCACAGGTGAGGGTAGGAACGTAGATCAAGAGCTTTGCCTTCCAGCTCAACGTTCTCTTAACCCCGACAGACCGACACAACGCCCGCATCACTGCGGACACAGCACCAATCCGCCTATCGATCGCGGATGAAACCCCTTCATTAGAAGAAGAAGAAAATATCGTTTCTATAGCGCCTCTCAAGATAAAAATCACGAGGAGCTTCACAAAATCAAAACATGTAAAAACATAGAAAATAATTTAGAAAATGATTAAAAATATATTTAAAATCAGCAAAAAAAAAGTCAATTATGATTAAAAATGTAAAGAAAGAGAGTGAGCAGGAAAGAGGGAAACCAGTGGATCCTGAGGAAGGTGGGATAGGTGGGGAGAGCAGAATAAAGAGAGAGAGGTGAAGAAGGTCATACAAAAGCCAGCTTGAACAAGTGAGTCTTCAGCTGCTTTTTAAAGGAGACCACTGAGTCCACTGATCTCAGGCTCAGGGGGAGAGAGGTCCAGAGTCTGGGGGCCACAGCAGCAGATGATCTGTCACCTTTGACCTTTAGCCTGGTGCTGCACAACCAGTAGGCTTTGATCACTGGACCTCAGGGACCTGCTGGGGGTGTAGGGACTAAGAAGATCACCAATGTAAGATGGTGCTTGTCCATGTAAGGCCCTAAAGACCAGAACAGGATCTTGAGATGAACCCTGAAGTTGACTGGCAGCCAGTGAAGCTGGAGGAGAAGCGGGGTGATGTGGGTGTGTTTGGAGGACTTGGTCAGAAGCTTGGTCATTATTCCGCTTCTATCCAGTGGAAAGGAAGGGTCTGGCTTCAGAACGTTAAAGGAAAATGTCTGATTAATGCAGAAAGGTGTGGTTTTTAGTGACATACCTGTGTTTTCCCCCATGTTTATCATCAATGTGACTGAATATTTGAACTTTATCAGAGACAGGAGTGTTTCATCCACAATAACAAAGCCAACACGTTACTCAAAGGTTGCTTAGTGTTATTGTACTCGACGTATTTGTGTAAACGGACTGCCGTGGCTTCAGCCTCTTCTAGAGCAGGAGTCGACGGGGACGTGTCGTCCATCTTTACTCATCTTTTGTCAATAAAACAAACAAACAAACAAAACCTCCTTCTGATTTAATCACTGACTGACTGCCTAAAGACGTCAGGCGCATACCTCATACAGGTCCAGCATCTGGTTTCCACCGATGCCTCTGGTGGTTTTGACATTCTCCATGGCCAAGGTAAAGAAGATCCCTCTGGTGTCGGACAGGTAGAGGTTGTAGGTGTCGTTCTGGTTCCACTCCTGCACCGCTGCGAATACCTGCTTCTCGTCCGAGCTGACGATGTGTAAATCCTATCAGGGAGCAGCGGGAGAGATTAGGACGAGTTATGACCGGAGGCGCGGGGTGACGGATTAGAACACGTTGACCCCGTGGGACTGGCCATAAGATCAATGCTGTGGTGGGAATATTAATGGTTGCAGACATACTGGACTGGTTGTCCCGCTCTGAGAGCCACTAGGACGTTCAGAGGACTAACACTTTTACTAGAAAGCCAACTGATAAATGTCTTTTACTGAAATTTCATCCTTTGGAAGCAACAATCTGTTCAGAATAATGGAAAACGATTAACTTCCTCCGACATTTAGGAATGAAACGTGCTTTAGGAGTAACTGGTGTGCTGCAGCTTACCTTCGGCAGGGAATATTTGGGCAGTTTGATTTGAATAAATGAGTCTCTCTTGTACGACACGTAATAGGTCGCCCGTCCTGAAGTAGGAACCTGAAACACATAATTCATAATTAATTGAATATAACAAATGTTTCACTGTGAGACCAGGAGAGGAGTCTGTGCTCGGAGCTCCTGAGAGTGCTTGGATTATGAGGCTGTTTCTAAAAAGAATGAACATCATTTTCTTCAGACCATTGTTGAAAGTGCAGAGAAGACGGGGTTCGACGTCCACTCAGACTCAGCGTGGAGCACTAGCTGCTGCAGTGTTCATTCATTCCTGCTTTCATTACTTTATCTGGAAACCGTTTGGAAGAAGACTTTGTTTTACTCTACTTCCAGAGCTCTGTGTACTTTTGTTCTCCTGTGAAAGTATCGTGATTGTTCATGGATGCGAGTCTAAGAGGTTTGATGCTTTAGGAGGGTGGTTCAACATCTACCGTCTTCATCCTTTTGAATCCAGCCTTTCACTGGGTTGCAACCGATCTTAGAGAAGTTCCCAAAGCATTCTTCAGGGCTCGGACGGTCCTCCCGTTAGTCACAGAGCCTCGGTCTAGTGTCACTGGAACTTTCTCATGTTTGGAAAATGTGTGAAACAGATTATTCCTTATGGGCGGAGCACAGGGGCGGAGCTAAAGCCGTTCAAATGTCTAAATTCTTCCTCCTCTACGGGATGACATCATGCTACATTCCCATGCTTTAAGGATTGAAGCACCATGGGATTATCTGAAACTGAGCTGATTTCTAGTTTTTCCTGTGATGGAGCTCTGCCGGTGACGCTGGAACTTTTAGATGATCTGGAACCGCTGAAAGTTTGAGTTTGTGTTTTTTTGCACGTTTCCATCATGATTCTGCATAGAGCTTTTATTTCTTTGCTCTTTTTCCGTCGCTTTGCATTCAGATACGGCCGACCTCCGCTGGGGTCGGTGAACTCGGTGGTTTCAGTGAGGAACTCCGTAAATGTGTCTCAGGACAATCAATAGTCTCATTACTCTTAGTTGAGACGAATCTTTAGGTTCCCTGACTGAACCTCACCAGCTGTTGAAGGGAATAAAGAAGTCAAGCTCGATGGTTCATCCGTGAGTCATCAGGAGTCCGTTTGGGGGTCGGGGGGGCAACAGAAAGCAAACATCTGAGGCGCAGCGAGCAACAAGGTTCTGCAGCTTCATAACCCGGTTCTCCTCCGGATCAATACGGACATAAAATTCATTAGAAAACCTTTATTTCACAAGCGTGTGTCTCGCTGCGGAGGAGGATCGATGCAGCTGGACGAGGCTGATTTTGTTACTGAGCTGGTAAGTGCTCCGCCCTCCGAGGAGAGAAAACAAGTTTTGAGGGGAAATCCAGCGAGCCACGCTGTGAGCATCGCCGAGCATTCCCACATGCAGCCGGAGCTGCTGGCAGCAGATCGATGGCCAGATAACCAGCAGCAGTTTGAACTTTAGGAGGAATTGGAGCAATTGATTTAGCTTTTTATCCCTTAGAGGATCTTTCTTCTGAGCTGCAGGTGGGGTTGAACTCTGGAGGTTCTTGGATTGCAAAGAAGGTTCAGGCTGAGAGTCTTTGAGTTGACTTGAAAGACTTGGAGAGGTCAAACGGGATTGGATGATGTTTGTAGAGAAGTTCTGTTTGTTCTGCAGGGATGAGTCGGGTTGGAGGATGGACCCGTGGTACCTGAGGCGCCCCTGCTGGTAGGCAGTTAAACGAACGTATGTATTCAGTCACATCAATAACTGGATCGATTCAGTCAATCAGGTCCACAGAGGAAACAAACCTGGAGCTTTTCCTCCTAAATAAAACCATCTTTAACATTGTTGGAGCATCACAGGAGCTTCTGGAAGCTCATTTTAAAAACTGCTGTTTTGGAAGGCAACTCGTGTAATCATCCTGACTTCCTCTGCCGACTCCTAAACGCGAGAATCCTCATTTGCACCGTGTCACAGTAAATAATATTCTGGCTGCAGAGAACATTAAAATATAAGCTATAAATTGCATCTGTGTTAGTTGGGATCCGGCATATTTCCATTTCAGATTCGTCTTTTTTGGGCTGTCAGACAGATCATAATAAATATAACACAACAGGCGGTGACGGGGATGAATATTAAAACCTGCCGGGCTTCAAACACAAACAAAAACTACAACTGATGAATTTTACTGAGCTTGTTGCAGAATGAATGTGCTCCTTTCACTCCTTTGTGGCAAATAAAAAAAATATCTCATTTAAAAATATGGTGTTCATTTTCCTTCAAAAGAAAAATTAAAAAGTCATAATTATTTTATATATAACCTAAACTTACACACAATACAATGATTTCAAATTGTGTGTGTTTGTGTGTGCATGTGTGTGTGTGTGTGTGTGTGTGTGCGTGTACATGTGTGTGCATGCATGCGTGTGTGTGTGTGTGTGTGTGTGTGTGTGTGTGTGTGTGTGTGTGTGTGTGTGTGTGTGTGTGTGTGTGTGCGCGTGTACATGTGTGTGTGTGTAGGTGCATGCATGTGTGTGTGTGTGTGTGTGTGTGTGTGTGTGTGTGTGTGTGTGTGTGTGTGTGTGTGTGTAGGTGCATGCATGTGTGTGTGTGTGTGTGTGTGTGTAGGTGCATGTGTGTGTGTGCGTGTGTGTGTGTGTGTAGGTGCATGCATGCATACATTTGTCTGGTATTATTGTAACGTCCAGCAACGGTCAGTTTTTAGGTACCGTGTGACCGTTCAGCATCTGGTCTAAAAGGAGACACGAGACTGCACGTGTTCCCTTTAAATCGGCCGGCCTTCCTCCCACCAGCTGGAGCTCAGAGCCTGCAGCTCTGACAGAGATAATGAAATCATAACAACATTCGCTCCTCTAGGTCCCTCACAGAGCACCTTAAGTCTCTTTGCTCACAGAAGAAAGAAGAAAAGAAGATTTTAAAATTAAAGATGAACTTCCACAACGAATAAAGTTAAATAATCATTAAATGAACATTTATTTTTTTGCTATGTATAATAATTAAAAAAATAATGAAATATTTCTTTAATCTGTGCTCAATGAAATATGTTTCAGCATGAATACTTGACCAGGTCATAACCATATTGCACTCACACAAGAACAAGAAAGGTAAAGTTAACTCCATGAACCATAGATAGCCTCTACCCCAGATAAGAGCCTCCGGTATCGAAGAAGGCGTTTCTGAGACTCTTGGTGATATCCCTCAAACTTGTCAACCTCTGGTTGGCTACACAATCATAACATGAGATCCTTAAAACTGGATCACTCTGGTGATTCAGCAGTTCTAGAGAAAGCTTCAGGCCGGCCACCTGGAGTAACACCTGGAGTAACACCTGGAGTAGCACCTGGAGTAGCACCTGGAGTAACACCTGGAGTAACACCTGGAGTAACACCTGGAGTAGCACCTGGAGTAACACCTGGAGTAGCACCTGGAGTAGCACCTGGAGTAACACCTGGAGTAGCACCTGGAGTAACACCTGGAGTAGCACCTGGAGTAGCACCTGGAGTAACACCTGGAGTAACACCTGGAGTAACACCTGGAGTAGCACCTGGAGTAACACCTGGAGTAGCACCTGGAGTAGCAACTGGAATAACACCTGGAGTAACACCTGGAATAACACCTGGAGTAACACCTGGAGTAACACCTGGAGTAGCACCTGGAGTAACACCTGGAGTAACACCTGGAGTAGCACCTGGAGTAACACCTGGAGTAGCACCTGGAGTAACACCTGGAGTAACACCTGGAGTAGCACCTGGAGTAGCACCCGGAGTAACACCTGGAGTAACACCTGGAGTAACACCTGGAGTAGCACCCGGAGTAACACCCGGAGTAGCACCTGGAGTAACACCTGGAGTAGCACCTGGAGTAACACCTGGAGTAGCACCTGGAGTAACACCTGGAGTAACACCTGGAGTAACACCTGGAGTAGCACCTGGAGTAACACCTGGAGTAGCACCTGGAGTAACACCTGGAGTAACACCTGGAGTAGCACCTGGAGTAGCACCTGGAGTAACACCTGGAGTAACACCTGGAGTAACACCTGGAGTAGCACCTGGAGTAGCACCTGGAGTAGCACCTGGAGTAACACCTGGAGTAACACCTGGAGTAGCACCTGGAGTAACACCTGGAGTAACACCTGGAGTAACACCTGGAGCAACACCCGGAGTAACACCTGGAGTAACACCTCTAACCACCAAAGCTTTTGACACGTCGTCAAACTCTTGTTGCACCTGCAGAGCTGATGAAGCAAACGGTTCCTGCAGAACAAGCTGAGATTGCTTAGACTCTTTAAGAGGCCACCAGACGCACGGTTCCATCCATCTGTCGTGACCTGGAGACAACTCTAAGACCGGTCTAGTAGTGCCGCAGTTCTTCTTCGGACCTCGGTGCCTGGAGGTCTGAGGACTTCGACATTCCGGATCTATCACGAGGGTCTTCGATGGGTACGTAGACATGACAGACTGCGTCTGATGTGTTTTGATAACAGCCACCTTCATAGCTTAATGCAAACCAACTTCTTTAACATCCAGAAATTAGCTCGTCTGCGGTCATAAGTAGAGGTAATATATATGGAGCTCTTAAAACCCTACATTATTATTGATCTACGGTTCACTTTCAGCCTGTAGTCAGAAGTAATTTGACCTCCATGTGATTCTGAACGTGCAGAACCAACGGGACATTTCTGTGAGGAAAACACAAAGTAAACGGACTTCATCAGAGTTTCTGGTTTAGATGTTATTTTCAGAAGAAAAACAAAGACAGTAAAGTTTGCCACCTGTTATTTGAACATGTAAAGAGACAAAACTGGATCAGGTTACTTTTTCTGAATCTGTTGCCATGGTGATCAACTCATGGAAGTGCTTATTAAAACCTGAACCTGAAATGAGCCGTCTGACTAATCCCGCCTCATGTAGAGGCGCTCGGTGTTGTGCACACGCATCATTTTGTCCTTACGAGGTTCTTTGGGTGTGTTTGAACAGCTTTGGCCCTTCGCTAACACGGAGCTGCTGCTGTAGCTGCAGGTGCTCACACCGGAGTGGGATGCAGAAGGATGCATACGTTGAGGACTTCAGACTGCTCTCCCTGAGTTTTCTCTACAATGTCCCAAGTGCTTTGCATAATGATCTTGCATGGGAGTGGAACAGACGTTGCTGTTTATGATGCACACCTGGTTCATTTTGAGTTTGGTCAGATTCTGATGCTGCTGATGTCTGACTGAAGCTCAGAAGTCCAGCTCCTTTTCGCCGGAGCGTGATGCGGAACGTGTTGGAAACAGCTATGACGTTCTGCACATCTCAGAAGGGTCCCACTGCAACGGTTACTGGTAGCATTTATGGTGACCACAATCCAAACCTTCTGGCTCGTTTTGAGTGGAGCAGGTATCCTCTCTGACTGTCAGGGGTAAAACGTTTGTAATACCTTTGTGTTCCAGATTTTACCGCAGACCCGCAGTCATGGATGATGTTGGCTTTGGAGGTGGAGCGGGAAGGCAGATAGGACCTCTTTTATTTAGGGAAACATTGTGAAGGACCTAGTTACCTTCTGAAATCCTTCTAAAAGCAAAAAGAATCTTCTAGAACACCAGGATCATCTACTGTAGTTTTACTGAAGATTCCTCCAAACAGGAGTCAGAACCACTGCTTTTGTAATTGTTTCTTGTTTTCAGCTTTTATTTTTGTTGGTTTTCTGATGACTACTGTTTCTCATCATGTTGCCAAACCATGTGGCATCATCAACTTTGTCCAAAGCATCCCAAAGATCAACTTTACTATCATTTTTAATACTTCTGCAGTGGTCTCTGGTGGGAGTGATGTCTTGTAAGTCGTTCTCTGGGGGAAAGAAGCTCAGATGCTCCTGATGGAGGACGTAGGACTCAGCTGGAGGAGAAAGTGGCCTCGGACGGCAGGATTTGGAGTTTTATGTCTTGATATTTGGACGTCTCTCATCTGATTGGCTAACTGCAATGCAACTCTACCCTTGACTCTGTTTGCTCTGAAAAGATGTTAACAAATAACTCTGAATGAGTCTGAATGAGTTGCTAATGCTAACGGTTAGCTTCTACTAGCCGAGACATCCTGTGCTGTTTCCTGGACGCTAAGCCAACAGAAGCCTTCCCCGTCAAGTCAAGATGGGTGAGTCCATGACGGTGTGACGTAGATCTGTCAGGATTTTCAAACCTTAAAGGTCAGCCGTCTATTTTCTAACAGAAACTAATGCAGGAGCTTGGTGTAGGAGACTATTTTCATGTTCAGCCTGCAGAGTGACCGATCTTTTTCAAAAAGTAATAAGTAAAGCAGTTTCTGAACCTGCTCTTTAATGAATAAATGCATATTTACGTATGGCTGTCTCAGCAGCACCAGAACATCAGCAGACCCGTGTGTTAAGTGCACCTGGGACTAGACTACAGAACATAAACTAGAACTAGAACTAGAGATGGAGCTCCTTAACTTGAGTTGGGAACGAAGGAGAAGGAAAAGTGGAACACAGGCTGCTGATCTAACCTTCAGAGGCCTACCTGTATGAAGATGTAGTCGTCCTGAACCACCAGAGAGCTGATGTCGATGTATCCCGGGAACGGGTAGTTCCTGTTAGCTTCCGTGCACGTCTGAGCTCTGCATGTGACATACTGCACATCTGTGAGTGACACGAACAGGAAGCTATTAAATCTGTTATTCCTCTCATGGATATCAACTCATAACCCTGAACCAACTTCATTCTCCATCACATCAGACTACGTTGTTGTGTCTCATTTGAATTGCAGGTTTCTTCCCGTCGGTGCACTCGGACATTTCTCTGGTTAATTTACGTCGTTGCTGCACCTGCTTTCCCCTCGTTGCACAAACACCAACAAACACGCATCCACGCCCGTCAATCATGCCGCGGAAAATGAAGGCTTTGCTCTGCCAACATCACAAACCAGCACGGAAAGTTTCACTTATCTCACTCATTGTACGGCGACGCTAACAACGCTGTCGTTCAGAGTTATGGAAACGACATTCAGGCAGGCGTTCATCACGAATTTAGCACCGGGGTGGGCCACAGCTACACCTCCCTTCTTAAAGATGTATTCCCAGCAAGACCTGCTCATTCCTTCTGTCTGGGTGGTGGGAACACTCACTTCCATCTGGCGTGTGCGCCTCCATGTGGATCAGGTCGGGTTCTTTGTCCAGTCCTGCCACCGACCTGACGGAGACGAAAGAGACAAGAAATAACAGTTAAAATGAAAACCATCACTTTACTTCTTTAATTCACTTTTGCTCTCCTTAAGTTTAGCTAAATTTGTAAAAAATACAAATCAACCCTGAAAAGAGAAGACCTTTCTCGTCCACCACCTGAAATCAAACACAAGAATCAAAACGGAAGCTCTAATAGAAATGAAAAAGGGGAGGAACTGTCAGCAGTTTGACTCGATCTGTAAAAGAAAAGAAAAACACAAAAGTGCTGAAAATACTCAAATAAATTCTCACGGAAAGATTCTATTGTTATTTTGGTCATTCTCGTGTTGAACGGTCCTGACTGCATGTCGTGACCCCTGTCGACCCTGAACTACCTCTGGTGTTTGACTGCTTCAGCTGGATGGTTCCCAGGAAGTCTTTGTCTACACGTTTTAGACCAACCAGCTGAGATGATGAACTCACAAGTTTATTTGTAAAAAAAAAAAAAAAAAAAAGATACTGGACCCTCTGGTGCCCTTGCTCACTTCTTCACCCGCATCAACTGGAGATAAAACAGTGAGAGAATGAACAGGAATCGTGCTGAATCAGTAAATGCATCTAGCCAGATCATACGGGACGATCGCATCATTACGACCACATTAGCCCCACACACTGCTGTGCTAACGTAACCGGACTCAGCAACGCTGCTTCGCCTAGACCACCAAAGAGCTCTGAGTTGTGTAGATGATGATTCACTCAGAAGCTCAGGTTCAGCCCAACTGAGTCAGCTCGTCTCTCTCCACCACAGCTCTGAACCTACTGGAACAGGAGGAAGTGACGTCACAGAACAAGGCCCTTCAAAGTAAAAGAACCAAAGAAACTTTTCTCAAAATGTCTAAAAAAAATACTTTAAAAAATGAGAATCTTACAATGAAAATGAAAAATAAGGAACTTCAAACAATTATTTAGAGGAAATAAAATAAAAACATTTAATTAAACAAGTAAATGAAATGAAATTAGGGATTTTTGGTGGAATTAATTACACATTTTTCTTTCCATGCTAAACTAACACTGATCACCAAGGCTTCCACCTAATTCCTAAGGCTCCAACTTTTTGTTTAGACAAATGGGCTGCAGTACCCAAAGTTGACCACAGGATGTCATTCTTGATTCATTTGTACATATTGCACCTTTAGTTTTATATTTAGACTCCAGATGTTAGGAGTTTTGAAACTTGTTTATCTCTTTTTAGACGTCCATCCATCCATTCTCTGAAACCGCTTTGCCCACGTAGGGTCGTGGGGGGGCTGGTGCCTATCTCCAGCGGTCAACGGGCAATCAGGTGGGGTACACCCTGGACAGAGAGCCAGTCCATCGCAGGGCAACACAGAGACACACAATCATGCACACACACACACACCTAAGGACAATTTAGACAGACCAATCAACCTAACAGTCATGTTTTTGGACTGTGGGAGGAAGCCGGAGAACCCGGAGAGAACCCACGCATGCAAAGGGAGAACATGCATACTCCATGCAGGAAGATCCCAGGACGGAAAGCGAACCCAGGACCTTCTTGCTGCAAGGCAACAGCTCTAACCACTGCACCACTGCGTGTCTTTGGAAATACTTTTTCTGCTTCGGTTCTGCAACATCCCATCTTCAGCAAGCAACAAATTACATTAAAATAAATGAAAGCTAAAAACACCGTTTTCATATCTGAGAGGTTTAAGGCCACACGAAGGGTTTATCTCTGAGTTATCCTGCTGGATTGGACCGCAGCGGTGCAGCTGCTGTCCCATTGTGGTGACGTTAAATATCCCTCGGAGGCCGATGAGTCTGCTGAGCAGAAACGGCCAACTGGAGTCCGGCCTGCCGCTGCTTCGGGCAGGTCCAATACTTCCATGCTTTTGAAAAGGGCGGAGTTGAAGGGCAAAACCAGTGATGGATTATGCTCATGTTTGGGATTAAGCCACAATGGCGTAGATGAAGTTGGGATTTATGTACAGCAGAGCATGAGACCTCGAGCGATGTCAGGCACAACCCTGTCACCTCAGGGAGGGACGGGGGAGGGATGAGCTGGAAAAGATCCAGTTCCAAGTTTGTGATGACTGTGCACTCGTCTACTGAGTTGGTACACTGCAGGGGGAGACAGTGTGAGGCATGAGTGGATAAGAGGCGACAGGAATGTCCCGGATCCATTATTAGTCATCGGTCCAAATCTGCATGTTTGCATCCAGAGAAAACCGCTCCTCTGCTGCTGATGAGAAACAACAGCAGTTCTGTATTTATGTACAACATGTCTGAACCGAGCAGAGGGGTGTGTGGGAACGAGGTGACATGAGACGTTGCCCCGGAAGCTGAATATAAAGCATGTTCTGAAGGACGAGATTAATCTCTGTCCGGCTGTGAGGAGTGGAGAGATTTTCAGCACCTCGTTCTGAGCCGCCGATGTCATTTGCTACTCCGCTGAACACCAAGAGCACTTTCTGCACATGAGTGAAACTTTGGAGAGCAGAGTTAAAACAAGAGGAATAAAAAGCAGACATGACGATGAGATGACTCACCAGTAGAATCTGTTCGGGGTGACGTGTTCGTGGATGAGCTGCCATTTTCTCCCAAAGTCTACTGAGCTGTACAGCTGCAGGGAAACCAGAGGGAAAAGGGAAGGTTAGCAAGGCAAATGTGCGTTTCTACACTTGTCAGGACTTTTAATCATGCCGGCTGATTTAAAAGTTGGAACAGTGATGGATGGGGTTGAGATGTGGCTGGTTGATTCCAGGCTGGAGGTGAGAGTGGGGCAATAAAACATCATCAGAGGGAGGGTGGCAGAACAGCAAGCTGCTCTCGCAACCAGCCAACACATTACGATGAAGCTGGGGGGTGGGGGGGGTGGGGGTGGGGGTGTCCCTGGGATGCAACTGGAAGGCCTCATTTTCACACCAGATGTTAGATCCAACACAAAAGTGTGTCCTGCAGTATGCAGCTGGAAACAGGTTAAGTTTCCCATTACTATTGTGTTAGTGCTCTTAACTCAGATATGTAATATTATACTGTATGAACCTCCATACACACACATGTATACATACACACACATGTATACATACACACACATGTATACATGCACACATTTCTACTGCCACACACGCATACCCATATTTACCCACTTACACACAAATTTGCATGCATATTCATCTATAAGCACACACATATATCTGTACACAACTAAATAAATAAATAAATGAATGAATAAATAAATAAATAAATAAATAAATAAATATTAAACTTTCAATGAGAAAGCTAAGAAGAAATGAGTCACAATTCAATTCAGTTCAAAGATCCTTTATTAATCCCAGAGGGAAATTAGAGTTTCAGTACACACAATTCTGAGATCAGACATACACACATAGACACATGACAAGAACTGGTGACTGTGGTCATTCTCAACCCTGAGTCGCGCTACCTTAATAGAGATCAGAGGGTTACATGAGGATTGGTTCAGGTAGAGGAAAAAAAGGCACTTCAGAGTTACCCTCCACAGGGAGGGCAGCTTTGCTCTGAAAAAAACCCCCACCTCAGACAGAAATGCAACAGACTTCAGACATCACACAACATAAGTGTCCACTAGGTGGGGGGGTGGGTTTGGGACACTCCGCACGTCAGTGCTTGCAGTCACGATAAGTAGCGCTCGTTACCTCCGTCTGGACCGGGGAAGGAGGTCGTTGAGGTTTGGAGAGCACAGTGATTCCTGGAACGATTTGGCCGCCTTCACAGCCCGCAGTCCCGCCCAGGCTGGGATAGGTGACAGAGTTGCCATAGCGACGGCAGCATTCCACATTTCTTCTGAGGGGGGAGTATTTGTTGCAGCCTGCAGGCTCAAGGGCACCAGATTCAGATTAGAAATTGTTTTGGGGCCAGACAGAGATAATTTCCTCTCTGTCTTAAAGTTCCGCTGGTCCTCAATCCGTCTGAATCCAATAATGGTGGAAATTAATCTATCCCAATCCGTGCTGATTGGTCCACTCGCTCCTTGATGGCAGAAGCGCCGTACACCCAGAGACAGACGAAGAGCCTTGGGATAAGATGGGGAGGAGAGGAGGAAAAAAGCGTCTGCCCTCTCTGAGACGGAAGAAGTCTTGCTCTAAACTTTCTCCTTAAATCTGGTTCACACGGCTGGATTTTTCAACCTTCAGGTGATTTTCTAAACTTCATAGACAGACACATACATACACACACACACACGCACACAGGCATGCACACACACACACGCATGCACGCACACGAATATAAAAAAATACAATACCACTGTCATGGTCTGCGTCTGCGTCTTCCTTCATGTGTCTCCTGATGTTTCTCCATCCCTCTCTAGATTCCCTTCTGTGTCTCGTAGCGCCCTCATGTGTCTTTTGTCTGCGTCTCAAAGTGTCTTATGTTGTTACCCTTTTTAATCATTCCTCCCAGGTCAGCTCCAGCCTCTTTGTCCCCAGCTCAGTGTATGTGCGTGTGTGTTTGTGTGTGTGTGGGTCCTCTCCAACTCAGTGTAACCCCGGGTTTCCACGGGAGCCGTCAGCAGCACGTTACTGCAGCAGCACGTCTTGCTCGCGTGAGCTGCTGCTTGGCCCTTCCCACGAGACGCAAAGCAGCAGGGGAGCAGCTGTCACCGACCGAGCACGAAGTCACACGAGTGACTTTGTCAGTAAACACAACAACAAGCAGGAGAAAACTACAACATGGCTCCAAAAGGTTTGTGTTTTATGTTCTGTCCGTTTTATAATCGCCAATACGGACCTGAAAAACAACGGAGACCGCCAGCTAGGTGATAACTTCTCACAGGGACACGCAGTTAGTAACCTTTTTTAAAAGTAAAGCAACCGGAAGGCAGTACGTTCTTTATTCTGAAAATCTCGGTAGCTTCTCTCCTTTTCCGCGTCCGATTTCCTGTCTTTCCTTCCCCAAAAATGTCGAACTTGACCCGTTTCAGAGGCGTCGCGCGTAGAAAATAGAACCGGCTCGTAAAGGCCGCGACATGCTGCTCCTGAGACGCGGCCGACTCGCGCTGCTGACGGCTCCAATGGAAAAGGTTCTGTTGACCACAGCGGTTCCTATCAGCAGCTATGACGTGCTGCTGCAGTAACGTGCTGCTGACGGCTCCGGTGGAAAGCCGGGGTAAGTGTGTGTGTGTTATGTCCTCCTCCAGCTAGTTTGTGTGAGCCCTTCCCTCTGTCTTTAGATAATGTTGTTTAGTTTTGTGTTTAGGTATTTGCCCTCCTCTGTTTCTGTTTTCTATTACATCCACACGCCTGATCACGACCAAACCCAGCTTAACCGAGTGTTTGCGGCAGAAAGACACTTCTCCCGTTTTTCCTCCACAGTCGATGATAATAATCTGTTAACGTATAAATCAGCTGAAAACGAGCAGGAAGCAGTAAGTCACTGCTAGTAAATGATCACACTCTGTATTAACACACGGGCTAAATGAGTCGCCAGACTCATTACTCCTGAGCCGGCTGCTCAAATGTTCCAATAACTCTGAACCAAATGTTTCAGTCATTTGGAAACTCTCATCAAGTCTCCCTGGAAACCATCCAGAGAACTGGGTTAAAAATGTGTGCAGAGATAGTAGAACATCTTCTGACAGATTTCCTCATCACCATTTAAACATCCACACTCACTCCACCGGTCAGGCGGCTTCTGAAGGTGAAGTTAGAGAAAACAGTTACCGCTGTGGCTCACGCGGTTCCAGGAACTCAACCGTTTGTCTCTAAACATCAATAGATTTGCAGAAACCTTGAACATAGAGCACCTGAAGTCCTGTCCTGAAGGAAATGTGGTTTGTGATTCCAGCAGAGATCCATCACTGGAGTCCTGGTGTAACGGAGCGACAGGCACGCTCGCTCATCACTTTGGACAGTGACATATGACTCCAGCGGGTGAAGCCTGACTCTCCTCTCTCCATTCATCAGCTATATGACACCTTAAATTTCAGCGCTTCTGAGCTGTCACTAAGTAAGCTTCATAGTTTCCTACCGACTTCCATAAATCGACACGCATCCATCCAGGCGTCGATGGCAGCAACTGCACCACAATATCTTCTGTTCAGGGAAACGGACCGCCATGACAGCTGCAGATGAGGGTAGACAGCTGGGACATCTTAACTTTGGCCAGAAGACATAAACAAGGTTGGATGGCACCAAATAGACAACGTTGGGTTCACATCCATGCATGGCTTGGGTTCTGGAACCTCTGATCATTGGTCGGACTTGGTTCTGGCACAGTTTGTGGGAAAAATAGTAGGAAAAGGTTCTGTCTCTGAGAGCTGCAACCAACTAACCCAAACAAAGAGCTTCAAGGTGGGTATAGGAGATTGTTGTGTCCACCACTAGGGGGCGGTATATCAAAGTCTCAGTGGCTTATCTCTCTTAAACGTTCAGTGGGGACAGAGTCCAGAGGACTCCTGACCGACACCTGACTGAGGACTCCATTAGAAGCCTGGAGGGTCCGTGGCTGTAACCCCCAAATTCCACTACCTCCGCTCCGCCCCGCCTTCCGCAGCCGCTCGCTTCCGAACTCAATTTTTACTGGTACCCGCTCTACAACGGCTCCGCTCCGCTCCGGTGCGGAGACCTGAGGTGCGCAAACAAGCATGTGCGGGATTTTCGAGATCTTGCGATACAGTTCGAGCAATAAACGCGGAAGTTAGATCCAAACACCCGTTGTGTGGGAGAAGCATCGAAATGAACTGTTTAATCTGCCCATCAGTTGTGTTGAGAGATCAGCAGTGCTTGGATCAACAAAGGGCAGAGGTGGAAAGAGTACTAAAATTTCCTACTTAAGTACGAGTACCAATACTTTGATAATTTTTTACTCAATTACAAGTAAAAGTACTTGCCTAAATTTTTACTCAAGTAAAAGTAAAAAGTATCGTAAACAAAATGTACTCAAAGTAAAAGTTACTTAGTTACATTTTTGTCAGCGTAAGGATGGCTACATCTAAGTAGTGCTAAACCACAACGCCAGTTCACAATTCGCTTGTGTGCGCGCACACACTCAAACAAGCACAGCTTGAAGGAGGGATTTCTATCCAATCAGTGAGAACAGGACGTCCACAATGATTGGACGAAGTTTTTCTAGGATGGTGGGTCTCAATTGTGATTAAAATTATTCTTTATTTTGAGAAAAAATAATTTTTTTAGATGCCATCAGTGTGTGAGGTATCTCAATGTTCTCATGACAAAACTCTAACATGAGACTGTGCTCTAACCTGTCACATAACAAGCTAAAGTCAAACATTTCAGATGGACCGTATGACAGCTGCTAACGTCGGCCCTGCCCTACTTTACCTCTACATTACAGTTCCTGTATCCATGTCCATCCTAGAGCTCCTCTCTGACCTTCATGCTTATTTAGATCAGCTGATTTTTAAAGTTAGCAGAGTTCATCCTTGGTAGTGGGTTCACTCACTCATTTAACCCTTCACCACTGAAATCAGTGTGTTCATTCCAGTCCTCCTAAATAATCCTCCAATCATCCAACTGGAATCCTTAAGGGTCCCGTAACGTCCATCCTATCAGAACAGGCCTTGGGAGCCCAGGTGTTACTAGAACTAACGGTGTCTCCTCACCAGCGTGAGCCTCCACACTG